TACAGAGGCAAACAAGACTATTTTCACTTTTCTATATTTAACACCTAACATAGGGCAATGAGTTTTCGCAATCAGGAATTCCGCTCAAATTGTTCAAAGTGGAAATTTCAGTTAATTTCCAAAGCCACGCAGCTTTTGCTGGATTAGCAGTGGGATTTTGTCTTAATTTGAGAGATAATTTTCAGCACTAGGACATTATGATCATAAAGTTATCGAAAACCACCTCTCGGAAAAAGCTCTCCAATATTCAACCCTCTTAATTTGCTCAAGAGAAAGCTTCCACATTTTCCATTATGCAAAATGATAGAGTGTGGAGAGGAGAGAAAGAAAGGCCAAGAGAGCAATGAAAAATTCATATTAAAATTTCCACTATTTTGTCTGTGATTAAAATTTTCTCTGCCATGAATATTGCACGATGCGCCAATAAAATATTAAATGCATGGTTGGAGATAAAAATCCCTGCACCTTTGATATCCGATAAATCGAGCATTTTCAATCACTTGCCAATGATTAAAAATACCCACCCTTAGCGCCAGAACACCCTTTCCATTGTCCCCATTTTGAGCACTTTGTGTCTCTCTCTCTTCGCAAATGCTTGGCGAGCGAAAGCTATTCAAATAGACTGGCAATGAATCATAAATTCCATTAGTTGACTGAGTATCTTTCAGTAAACACTTTTATCAATCACCCCGGGTTGTGCCGATGGGGTGGAGTAGGTTGGAAGGGGTTGTGCAAAATGTGCATAGTTATTTGAGAAAGTTGAAGAAGAAAAGCATTTTCCGTTGATTCTCACAATGAAGTGACATGAAAAGCACTCGCACAAACAGTCGAGAATGTATTTCAATTTCACTCCAACTATCAACTCTCATGCTCAATGCTGTATAGTTATGACGACTGAAACTTGGTGCTGGGAGTAATTAAAATTTTCTATTAATTTATGTGACTAGCTGTCGAAAGCCATTTAATTCCATTCTCTCATATCAGACAGTCAGCGCGCATTTCCGAATTTCTGCCGCTGAAAAGGGACTCTTTGTGGAAGTGCACATGAGGCAGTAACTTTATAAATTGGGTCTCGAGGAGGAGCGAGAGCTCATGATGCACTGTTTGTTCTAATTAAAATTGAATTGAACGTGTGTGTGTGTGTGTGTGTGAATATGAACGCTTTTTCAGTTTACTTAGCGGACAAAAGTGGTTAAGTAATAATTAAATTAGGAGAATTCAAGATTTTAATAATAAATGGGATTTCTCTATACATAAGAGGTATTTGTATTATGATTACTGGCATATTATCCTTGACAATGTTCACAGAGAGGATTGAACTCTATAGTTTATTACAAAGGGGAGATAATATGCCCTTAGTCTGTACACAACTTCCTGACACTTTCACAGCTTCTGTGCAGAATCTTCAACACCTTTCAGACACTTCTAAGCGTCCTTAAAGGCATTTTCTATCGGTTTTCTATTCTATATAACAATTTCTGACTTGTTTTCTTAGTTTTGTCCTTGGAAAATGCCTAGAAATATTCTGACCAAATTGTGAGGTTATGAAAATCGGTTTTAAAACGTTCTTGGACGAATTTGAATCCTTTCCAACATGGAAATGAGTAAATTTAGGGAATTTCTCTGAATTTCTACTGGATAATAAAGCAGAAACAGCAAAATTTAGTCTTCTAGTATAAAAAAGACATTTTTGAGGTTATGTTTGACTTTCAAGCTGTTTTTTTACTTCCGAAATTTAACCAATTTAAAGTTATTTTGACACAAAATGCTCAATTCTGCAGAAGGAAAAGAAATATTCTCAATTTAAACCCAATTTTGAAGATTTTGAGGGATTTTTGAAGACCAGAATTGATTTTAAATCTTTCACATAACCTAGAAAAGCAGTAAAATTGATTTTTCTAAGCATTGTTATGTTGAAAATGCCTCAATTTGTTGAAACAGAAGCTTTTGCAATGAATATTTTACCACTTTGCCCTTTGGTTAAATAAACTCACAATAGACAATTCTGCACTTGATGCACAACAATTCAATATAGTGGAATAACAAAGGAATAATTTAAATCTACTACAATTCTATAACGATAAACAAAGATAAATGTATCTCAGGCCAGAGATCGTCAAAATCAATAATTCTCCCTTCGCATGGCAGGTAAATTTCATCATTTTATCACAGCGGATATGGAATTAGGGGCGCGTATTTTGAAATTTCATATCTGCGCTTTACTCCAAATTCTATTATAATAAATGAATATTCTGTGCTTTTCATTAAAATACAGGCACATCATCCGGCTGCTGGATAAAAGAATCACTTTGTCTATCCCAACATGCACGCGGCCAAGTGGATTTTTCGTGCACGCTCTCAAAATATTCAATTCGTCCGGCGAAAAAAAAAAACAACATTTACCCCTCAAAAAGCCCGGCACGTGTGAAAGAGATGAAGAGAATAAATTATTCTCTTGTTTTTAATGGAATTCTCAATCACTCTTCAATATTGGGGCTTCAATATATGTATATGTATAAAAAATGCCACGCGATGCAAATTCTATGCAAAATTGTTGATCTTCTGTGGTTGAAGAGAGACGCGCACAGACAAAAAGAGGCCTAAGAATTCACGATTCAACGAAGTTTCAATTTGAATTTAATACACCGCATTTTGTGCGTGAATTAATTATAAAACATCGACAATATGATTTAGTAATGCTTCCTCACATTTCCATTGGCATGGATAGTTATTGTAAGTGCGCTAATTTATTGCATTCATTTACAACATTGTGGGGTGCTTTTTCACACCCCTTTCCAATGAGACTCGCGCGCGAGTGGATTTAGTTTTGCTGCAAGTGCATTTATCGTAAGCAAGAATGGCCATAAATGTTGTTGGTGGCGCACAAAAAAGCGGCATGTTAATAAAATGCGAAAAGGGGCGCGGGGGGAATTGAGGGTTGAGTGGAGAAAGCTCCCCGAAATAAATGATCCCCGGGCAAAAGTGAGAGAATGTCCACCTCATAAATTCCTACATTACACTCATTTAATGGATCGCCCGAATAGAAATTGGTCCGTCGGACATTTGCAGGAGAGAAAAGCCATTATTGCACAATAATAGTGTGGATTGTGCCATTAGATTCCAAACGCCTCGATATTCTTCACCTCCTCTCTTGTCTCTCCATTCACTTCGCCTTTTTCCCAACGATCCGGCAAAATCTTCACACTTTTTTTCCGCCCCTCCGTGAACTTTCCACGTCGGGCTTTTTCTTTGTGCCCCTCCATCAGAAGCCACCCTCGATCGCTCACCCCCGCGCGCGCAAGGGATATTTATATATTCGAAACAGTTTTGCGGAATCTCTGATACGGAACTAATGGCACTTAAGTTCCAATTTATATTGTATTTCCCAGACATTTGTGCTTTGGTCGTTTTTGTAACACAATTTCACCGTTGCGAGGACGAAAAAAAAAAATTGCAGATTTTTATGGCTCTCTCGGATTATTACTATCTTTTCCCACCCCCCTCCCTGTCATTTCATTGACTTTTCGGCAGTTGGACCCACATCGTAATGAGAAAAAGAAAAGCAATTGAGCTGGAAATGGCGCGAAACATATTGAATTGATGATGCCCAAAAGTTCAGCCGCACAAAATCTCAGCACAGAAAATGTTGCTTGCAAAACAAGCGTAAATTTGAATCCATTGACAAAGAATTCCTAGAAAATTCCAACTTTTACCGCACTTGCAACGCCTTTGCTGCAAATGCCGTGAAAAGTTACTCTCGGAAGTCGATTGAAACTGTGTTAAACAGTTTTTGATCGATTTTCACCCACTGAACAGCCATCAAAGGCCCAAAAGGGGTTGTTAATGTCCGAGATGCAGTTGTAAATGCTTAAAAAAAAATTGTCGGATTTAAGACGAAATAAAATGGCAATAAAGATATTTCGGTGTAGAATTTAGCGAAAAGCGTATAATTAAGAGTTGAATTAAGTGTGAATTCATCAATGTTTATCCTAAATTAGTGATTATGACGAGCTTAGAATGTTTTTCCTGTGAAAAATGAGAGTTATATGGTTGAATTTTAATTTAAAAAGCCTTTTTTTATTATAATATTCAACATATTTCGGGCTTCAATCTTCCCTCCGTTCTTAATTCGATATTATGTGTGCGAAATCGTCCAGTTAGATTAGTTAGAAAAGCTAGTTTCTTGGTCAAGATCGCGCCCAGGAAGTCAAAGAGTGTGAAAATGTGTGAAAAGGGAAGGAAAAGGACGCGAAAATGCGTATATTTGAAGTATTCCAAGCGAGAAAAGTAGAAAACAAGGTGAAAAAAGGCATTTTAGGCCTTAGAGAAGATTTTAAACTCAAGGATTGACATTAAAGCATTTAAATAGAATATTAGGAAGGATTCTATAGGAAAACGGGTAAATTTAGGCGTAGAAAAAAATTATTTTTGATCACAAATGCGGAAATTAAGAAATGTTTCGAGGAAAATAAAAATTTTTAGCACTGATTTAGTGGATAATTGCGGAGAATATATAAAAAATTGTCGCAGAAAAGCCTTTTCTGCTCTTCTGTGGCACTCAAAACCTATATTAAAACCCCTTGAAATCTCATCAAAGTGCAAAATTGTGGAAAATAGTCATCATTCTCCTGTCCAATCATTGAATTTTCCACACTTTTATAGACAATTTGGCCAAAATGTTCACTGTTTATAAGCCATAGACTGTTTAAAAGCCTAGCAATAAGCTGGAGTGGAGTTAATTAATTTGCACAAAAGTGGACAGAGTGTGTGTGTGTGTGTGTCCACTTGCATAAAGAGACCTCTAACAATATTGCTGACGTTTTGATCCAAAACTAATCATAAAACTTTAAATTAACAATTTACCCTCTCGCTGCAGAAAATTTCTGGGTGGTGTTGGTAATATGATTAAATTGCTGTAACGCCTGAAAGAGATGAAAATTTCATCACACACACACACATAAATTGCTGGCAAATTTGTCAAATGAAACGAAAGTGGTGGTCAATGATGCATTTATGTATATTTTGAACCCTTTTGTGTGGAGAGAAGAGCACGAAGAAGGCACAAATTTCTCTGGAATCACACTTTTTTGGTGGAATGCAAACTGTGGGCCGTGTAGAGGTTATTAAGTCGCTGCAAGTGCGCACGAAGTGGCTGAAGGAAGATCTCGAGGTGCTTCATATTCTCTGCATGTTGCTCTCCATGCCCGAATAATTGACTTCGTGTTGGAATCCATCGGTAAATTACCTTAAAAATGCATTGCAGAGAGTAAAACACGAAAACCACCCTCAAATTATGCAAATTATGACACTGAGGAAAAGGCGATGCGCCTTTCGAAATAATGGTTCAATTTATCAATTTTTCAATTTACGGATATTATTCTTATATACATACGGAAAACGCTTCTTGGACAATCCATCCGTGAAATGGTTGCAGTGTGCATTTGTATGCATCTCGAATGTGTTGTCTTAAATCATCCTGACTGGAATCGTCGCTGTGAACGTTGGTGAAAAATGCCTCAATCATTTCCAATGCTCTGCAAATACAAGCGTACATGTTTTCCTCTTCTACATGTTTGCATAAATATACAAGTGCGCGCCCGTATTTATAGGGGATGATGGCAGAAGATGATTCTATACAGAATCAATCTTATCGCTTTCCACGATACCAAAACCGTTCCTCTTCTTCTCTTGTCACGCCATGCTCTCTCTCTCTCTTCCCCACTCGTCGTCGTCGTCTTATCATGTGATTTTTTGGGGAATTGACGACGACAATATTTCAGCTACTTCCTAGCGAGCGCAAAACGACGACACACTTTTTTATCTATTCCACCGTGGAAATGCTGAAAACTTTGTTCATCCCCTAATGGGATTTCATGCTTACTTTCGCCATCCCCTCGCACGTAAGAAATCCATCCCCCCCAGCAAACGCTCCTCTCTCTCTCTCCCTCTTCCCCAGCATCGAATTAAAGAGTGCACACGAGAGTTTATAGAAAAACATTGGCTCAAGAGTGCCGCGCGCACTGACGAGAATGAAAAGCCATAAACACCACCTGTTTTCTCACCGCCCACCACCCTAATTCCCTAATTATTTTTACACACTTCCACCGCCCCGAAATGGCGAAATAAAGCTTCCCCAGCATCGGATTACCTCACGAGATAATCGGCGACAAGGCAGAGCCGTGACACGGAGTGAGAAAAGCGTCTCTCTTTGGGGTTAACAGACAGAAACTGTGCGATGGCGATCAGGAGTCAAATTTAAGGGGTATTATTTGGGGTTTAAAAAACCTTCCCACAAACGATTCTTTCTGCCACAAGCAGCTCTTCTCAAGTCTCGACGGTTGAAGAGAAAACTACGAAACGTCAATTGATCATACTTTTCGTCTTGTATATTTTTTGAAAAGCTTTTTATTTGTTCTTCGTGTGCAAAAATTTTGAGATTTGTATCTTATTAGACAATAGCAAAAAATCTTATTTATCAAAAAAGCACAAATGAATAAAATTGTCATATTTCCATGAAAAATGTCTCGAAAATTGCAGTCAAACGCATCAAAAGCCTTTTCAGAAATTTCCCTAAAATGTTTTTTAGGCGTTGAATGAATATTTCTCATATCTATTAAATTTTCTTCATTCGAAAACACACGAAAAGTTGATTTTTTAGAACTAATTTCATTAAAATCGACTCGAAGACTATTAAAAATCAACTTTGGAAAGTAATATTTTCAGATTTTCCATTAATTTTGCCATATTTTAGTCAAAAATTTCAATAAATACCAATAAAATCAACTAAATTATTTACAAAATAAGAAATACAGAGCAATATTTGCACTTTGACGGACGATTTGAAGGCGTTTTGGCAAATTTTTCATTCGCTTTGCTGAAAAATGACGATTTTGGCTTTTGATAGTTATCGATTCACCCGTCGAAATGCTTCAAGTGGAAAAGTTACAGTGGAAAAATACTCATGGCTTGATTAAAGGGGGTTTTGCAAATTTGCTCATCTAAATTGGAAATTGATAAAATGCGCGATATCACATAATTCGTTGGGCATTATTAGAAAATTACGCCAAGTCCAAATGCGCAGATTAACAGACAGGAGTTTTTGAGAGTGTGAGAGTGGCTTTGAGAAGCACTGCAGCTTTGACACTGTGATCTCCCCAATATTGCAGAGCTCTTCTCTTCCCCCTTTTTAGTGAGAGAATGTGCGACAAAACCATGAGTGGAAAGTGGCATTCAGGAAGCGTCTTAATCTATGTTTAATGGAACTGATATTTCTCCGCTGTTGTCTCACTCATAGATTTACTTCGCATAATGGTTTTGTGTGTGTAATTCAACGATGGCAAGTCTGCGATAACACACTGTAACCCACCATTGTGCAATGTATAAAACCTCCAGCTAATATGTCTCTGCATTCTCTCGCATGGACTTGCTTTTTTCCTCCCAAGGGGAAAGTCACTCGCAAGTTGAGACCATTAACTTTGTGATTATTCAATCTTTTTTTTCGATTATTTGTGATTTTTACTCAAATTTTGATTATTTCATACAAAATTCTGATTATTTTTTGATTATTTCCTAAATATTTCATTAAAATTTGATTTTTTATAAACATTTTTTGATTTTTTCTCAATATTTGATTAAAAATTGATTTTTTTTTTTTATTAAAAATTTGAATTTTTTCAACTTTACTTTGAAAAATTATAATTTTTTGATTTTGTTTTAATTTGATTATTTTGCAATTTTACTTTGGAAAATAATCATTTTTTGCTTATTTTACTCAAATAATTGATTATTTGATTAGAGAACATTAAGTTTCCTCGAAAATCGCCTTGTGATTTGCCCCTAGTTTCTTCCTTCTTTCTTCACCCTCTCTCTAAAAAAGGAGTGACACTTTTCGAGCTTTCCTTTGATGCTCACTCGCTCTTTCGCTCTCTCTCTCTCGCTCAATTCTCTCCTCACTTCCGTCCCAAACTCTGAAGCTTGTGTATATGACCTCTGACATACTCTTTCATTTATTCTCCCATGTCAACTATCCTCGACCTCAGCACACCCCCAGGTTCTCATCCATATATCGCCCTCCCACCCCACCCTGGCCGTTCCCCCAAATCGCCCCACATTTTAATAGAAAGCACTCCCACTCGTGCGCTTTTTGCTCCATCCCGGGCCATCCATTAAGTCTGGCTGAGCTTTTCCTGAACCACCCCCTCCGCCACCCGCCTCCCCCGCTCGGCGGGGTGAGCAAATTCATCCCCGATCCAACCTCAAGCTCTCCTAAGACGATGACGACCACACGACAACGAGAGAAAGTGTGTGGTTTCGCCTCAATGTATGTAAATCTTATCAAATTTATCATTCGCCCAACCCCAGGCCCGCAATGAGCCCCGGGGACCCGCACGGCCCACGCACATCTCACCCCCTCCCCCCCGCCACGCCGCCGTGGGGGCAATTTTGCTAGTCTTTTGCGGATGTAAGAGGCAATTTTTAGCACCCGCAAGCGGTATCACGGTCTGCGGAAAGCAATATAATTGTCATAATGTGCCAAAGTGTAATTGCTCCACCGATGCGGGTTTGTGGCAAAAGAGAAATTCCCCTCTCTTGTCGTTACCTTTTCAGCCAGAGCAGTGGCTCCACAATCATTCGCCTCTCCTTTGCATCGTCCACGAGCATGTCGTCGAGGAAGACATTCCGCTTCTTGTCCAGCACGAAGTGCTTCTGGATTTTCTGTGCAGAAACAGAGAGACAAAAGCGCAAATGTTTTGCATGAGAAGTGAAAGAAAAAAGACTTCCACTTCACCTGCCAGAGTTGCTGCATAAGATAAGAAAGATTCAAATAATGCGTGTTCTAATATGAAAGCAAATATTTCCACCAAAAGAGGGTTGAAGAATATCAGCGGAAAAGTCGAAAAAGAACCATTTTAAGCACTGATATGAGAGGAAAAACACAAAAAAACGACGATAAAACTCAACTCTATAATATTGTCGAAAAAGCATTCAATCTGAACCGTTGAAAGTCATGAAAAAAGCTCAAAATTGATTTGTTAAATGGCAAAAATTCTGCTTTTCAGTTAGTGAATATAAAAAGATTAATTAAACGATTCTTCATTTAGTTTCAAAGCTTTTTTAGTTACCAAATTACATGCTTAATAAAATTATATTCAAGGATAATATTGACATGTAATCTCGCTTTGTAATTTCCCTAATTTTTTTACCCCTTAAAATCCCATTTATCGTCCATTAAATTGATTAATACTTGTCAGTTTCAATTATTTTCTATAACTCTCAGGTGATTTTTTGGTTAGTTATTGAAATTTTAACTGAAATATGAAGAGTTGATAGACGAACACACGGTATTAAGTATAATAAGCTTGTTTTTAATAGTTTTAAACTGCAATAATGACCTTTTTCAATTATGAATTTTCAATTAGATTAATTTTTCATGTAATTTCAATTATTCTATTCAAATATTTGATAATTTTTTTGATTTCAAGTGGATTTAAGGATGCAAAACAACTAAAAGGGCACAGAAAAAGATTCTAATTGTATGAATTTTTGAATAAATTGCAAATAAACGAAATTAAAAATTCATTAAATTTAACACAGAAAAATTTTCACAGCGTCAAAGAAATCTTAAACAGTCGCGTGCTTTATTCCAATTGCAGCAACTGTAGGCAAAGGAAATAGCAAGAGGAAATTCCAATGCCGTGATGACTAATAATTTGATGTAAATTTGACCTTTTGGGGATCTTTTTCGCTCTTTTCACACCTTTTCTTTGCCCACTCAAGTGTGTCACTCTATTATAAACAGCACACCTAAAGAACTGTTGAGTTATATTGCTCCTTATCTTATCTAAGCGTCGCACAACTCTGTCACAGTGAAGCATGATGTGTTATCAGTGTGGCGCGATGGTGTGTGAATTCCAATGATTCTGCATTTGTTTTGAATTTTCTACATGGACCGAAAATCACAAATGCACACAACAAACCTCAATATTGCCATTCATGTCATACACAACGGGCTTGAACAGCTTCCCAAATGACTCTGTCGAGTAAACAATTCAATTAATTAGCGCAGCAATGCAAAATATGTGTGCTCTTTCACTTTTGACCATCAGCAAACTGAATAAAATCTGACCACTGAAAGAGAGAAAGAGAGAAAGGCAAAAAATCCACTCACCGAATGTGGCCACAACTTCACGGGATGCATTTAGAAAATGAACAGTATTGATTTTCTCGCTTGATGGAAGATCTGGATATCCTTTCATGGAGCTCATTGATAATTTGCCTGCCATTTTTCACTGTCGCTTCAGTCTTTACGTTCGCTTTCGGTGAGATAAAGGAATTGATGGGAAGAACTGACAATTCTTCTTCTGAACACTAAGAACTTCTCGTGACTTTCGGCGCGATTTCTTGCATTTCACAACCCAAAAAAATAGGAGTTAATTGCACAGGCGACTCTTCACAACTGATCGACTGACACTCTTGAGGTCTCTTTATCGCAAAATTTTAGTGTTTTTCCTCATCCATGTCTCGCCTATGTGCGCGACCATAGATAGGCACATGTAATGCCAAAGCTGTTATCAGCATTTCTGGATTCATAGTACATTATATATAGTATGAAATTTGCGCTATCGCGGATTTATTGAATGCCGAAATTTCCATTCGCCGCGAGCTTTTGCCCCAAAATATTTCACTCGCACGCTGGCAAATTATCATCGCCACTCTTTCCAATCCACACTTCACACGCGCCTTAAACACCGGCGGCCGGATGGGAAAGTAATTTTCCGTTGCCTAAAAAATAAAATTAGAAACAATAAGGCGTGCTTGTTGAAGGGGAAGAAAGAAGAAAAAGAAAAGACGGTGCGAAAAGGAGAGAGAAAAACAGCAATAAATGATAATATATTGAAATAATAATTCATAGATATAAATTTGGAAATGGACACATTTATGACGGAATGTGTTATTCATTCAGGCAAAAATTGGATATCCTTGAAGATGGTGGAGAAAGGAAACCCACAAGTTTGTCCTAATGGCATCCCATTTGCTGTCCTCGCCGCGCGCGCCTCCCGCCGCCGCTCTTCCAATAAAGCAAATTTCACCCCCGCAACAAAACGTCCACCAGAGAGGAAGCCTTTTATATTTCGTCATGTTTAATCATTCGCCACCCCATTGGCAGGTGGAAAAGACGTCGTGGATTGAGGAAATAATATGTGAAGCAATGAAAATGAGTCAATTAATTTTGATTTCTCCATTTCTCACCACCAATCTCGTGCTTATGTGCAAGAATCCTCAACATACTTAGTAAACTTTCGCAGTGGCGTAGCCAACAAGAGACATTTAACACGCGAAAATATGACAAAGAACAAGTTTTGTCGTTGAAGAGCGCAAGTTAAATGCAGCTTGAAGCATGCGCGCAACTTATGCTCTGCAGCATGAAGAAAGCGAAACTTGTCGAGGAAAAACCCTGTTTTTAAGGCAAATAGAGAAGAAATATCGCTTTGACACGTAAGGGGGAAATGCAGCCCTAGAAGTGCTCTATACATAGAAAAAATAATCTGATATAAAAGTTTTTTCGTTTCGGAGATATTTAATAAAATGTGGCTAAAAACACCGGTGAATTTTTTACCGAGAGGCGCACAAAAGATCCTTTTTGACCAACAAGGAATAGTGTAATATTCTTATAATGTTTTACAAAGTAGTAGACAATTTCAATATCTATCATTTGAGCCCAATTTGAGGGAAATCCGTGGAAAATTGGGTGAGATATGAGCACATATGTGCGGCAAAGTAGGGTTCTTTAATAGAGCAAAAGGAGAAACATGTTCGCTTCTTTTGCACAATCATTTGTCTCGCTCTGTTAAACCTTCTAAAGAGTTCACTAAATTTACTGACTAAAGTACAATTTTTGCAGTGTAAATGAGCGACAGTTTACTGACCAAAAAGTCAATATTTTACTGACCAAACAGCAAAAATACTGGCAAAATGTATTTTTCGAAGACTGACTAAAATGATTTGTTTGCTGATTTGAATTTTATTTACAAAACTTTTTACTGATCTGTAAAAATACTTTTACGATAATTTTTTATGACTAAGAAATTTATTTTACTGACCAAAACAGACTTTTAACTAATAAACATACCACAATCAACAAAAAATAACACATAAATCTCAAGACTATTGAAGCAAATATTGTAGAAATCAAATGATTTCATTTGATAGTTTAATAAATGTGATTTCTTGCATAACAAATTCAGCAATTGCTGCACTACGTCACTGACCACATGGCGGAGTTCGTCACATTGCTCTGGGGAAAGGTCTTCAGGGCTCATGCGTGAAATGGAACGAGACATTTGGGAAAATAGGAAAATATATACGATTTCCCCAGAAATACACATATCAACAGTACAGCGGGATAATTAAATCCCATTGCAGTGATATTTGGTTTTATCCCACATTTTATTGCTTCTCCCACAGGTTCAGCCAAATGCTCTAGTGTAAACTCTGTTGAAACTGTCAATTAATCCCCATTTCACTCTTTTTTTTTCCACCCATTCACAGTTTCTGCCATGATAAACTATATTTGCACTCTTGTGTTGTCTTATCTGGCCTGGAAATTTCAGACAGTGTCAAATTCCTGGAAGAAGCAATTAAAGCCCTAATTCATCCAGTTAGTCTGGTGTGGAGGTTTAGTTGCCCTTCGAGAATCCTGCCACGCTCTAATACACACTTCCTTAACATGTTACCCAAATATTCGCGCACGTGAGTGCTCATGAGTGGGGAAATTAAATTTCTGCTGAAACACACACGTAATTTAATTTGAAGGTATGAACCCACCAAAAATGCTTCATTACAGCAAGGGAATGCACGCAGGAAGATCGTTCTGAGGGGATGATATGGCAAGGATTATTTATCATGAGTGTACTTAATAATTACAGGATTAGGAATTCTGACATTTAAGACCCATGCAAGCGGTATAATATAATTTTCTAAGCGAATTTTGACTGTGCAAAAGTTGAAGGAGGGAAAACTTTGCAGTGCATTTTGCAACTGCCACAATTTGCACGTACGACGAAACACTGAATGAATGAATGCCTTCTTGAGTCATCCAACTCTCAGAAGTCCTCAAATGTGTGCAATTATGTTTGACTCTCTTCTATGTGTGTCTAGTGCACTTTCAATAATGTAATTCGATACATTTTCCCTCTTCCACGCCACTTGCGAGTTCAATGCGCCCCTCGCAACTGAAACACAACACAGAAAGAGAGGGTTTGATGACTTTGTGGTCGCGAAAAGGTGGAAATAATGTCGCTGAAATTTGCACAACACTTTCGCACACTTTCAACTAAGAGTAATTTTAAGTTAGAATTCATCTCCAAGTCATCATTCAAAGTCTCTAATCTTATACACTTAAAACTGCAATAAAATAGGACCATAACCTATAAAAATAATAGTAATCTTGATAAGAGATCTCATTTCTTATTATAGATCCAATATCTTGGGATTTTTAGTGACTTTTCCTGCGGGAATCCTGCAGAAATATGCATTTACAATCCGTAATGATATGACGCAATTTAAACAACATTTATCATGTGGCGCTGTGATCCACAAAGTGGACAGTCAAAATGTCATGGGGGAATTTCACCAAGGTATTATTTCATTCACCCACAATTTTGTCCTTTTGCACGTTTATTATATTATTGATAAATGTGCAAGGATGCTTTCACGGTACAGAATTAATGAAAAGAGGCAAAAAGTACTTTTTGCATCAAAAATACGTCAGTTCTTAGAAGTTATTTTTCACAAAATATATTTCTGTTGTGGAAATTCTCAATCATGACTAAGAACAACAGTGTAAAGTCCTCAGAAAATTGGAAATACATGCTTTTCAGATACAAATTTCCTTAATTTCCTCAATATTGAAGGAATATTGTGTGATATTCTCACCCCAATTCTTTGACAGTGGCCATCTTTAAAGAAAAACTCAGATGATCTCTTCTCCTGATGATATCTCCCCCTTGGGCGTACAGAAGATTTGTGCTTGCTCAAATCTTCGGCACTTGAAGTTCAGCCATCAAGTTCAATACACGCGCGGTCTTGCGGTGCGCTCGATGGTAAGAATGTCTGGTGTTGCGTCATCATAAATACCACAGCGACACCCGCCCGGGGGCGGGGAAAGGGGCGCTGGAAGACAATTCAATAAGTGGCAGGGAGGATGACTGACACGGAGAGAGGAGGCCTGTCTGGAGAGGCCTAACTAACTTCACCTCCGACATTCCTCGCATACACGCCCGTGTATGTAAATGTAGATTATAACATGTCTATGCAAATATTTGATTCTCCGCACCGCCAACACCCCAGTGTATTGTATCGAAGCGGGGAATTAATTAAAGTTGCAAATTTGGGTCTTCCGCAATTAGTTCAGCAGCAGCATTAGATGCACAACGCGCCAAATCACTTGTGCCACGCGAAGACAACGTATGGGCGCGATAAGATGTCGAACGCATCATGAGAGGACTAATCAACCGCGATCTGCGCCACAGATGGAAATTCCGCGCTACCTGCAGAGGAATTTTCCTCTGTGTTTGTGTGAAATTATGTGGAGAAAATCCGCAAGAGCCATTGAACGAGTGTCAGAGTGCAAAGTTCACCCTGAGATGGGAACTTTCACTGCGCGCACACAAGTCAGCATCTATTGTTAGAGCGAGCGCGATGATAAGAAAGAAAGTGTCAAAGACGCTTCTCCGCACTTCTATACACGAGTCAAGTGTGTTCGTCTAACCTTGTTGGCCTTTATCTGCAATCATGCTCTATTTGCTCCCATCGAAATAATTCAAATGCTCGGCCAAATGGCAAACACTGTTGCATCAGAGACAAACCGTCACACACACAAAGATAAATATTTAATCTTGCAATTGTTGACGTGCTGAGGTCACAAATAGATAAATTTAGCATTGAAAAGCATTATCAGCATATAATCGTTAATTTGGATTAATTCAAAGACTTCCTGATAAGCTTGATAAGTTAAAATCAAGGGGAAAAGTCACTCGCGATTTAATATTTGATTATTTTCTCCACATTTTGCCGCTAGAGGGCAGTAGTTTAAACTTTAAATAAGTGTTGGAATTCCGATTGTATTTCCTCCTGATTTTAGGTGTTCGAATCCAACTTGGGGCAAATTTTCCCACCTTTTTTGCTATTAAAATTAAAAATTTTATGTAATATTCTGAAAATTTCAATCAAATTTCGATTATTTGATAGCAAAAATCAACATTTAATTATTTAATTGAGACCATTAAGATTCCTCAAAAATCTTGCTATTGATTTTTTCCTCTTGGTTAAACTTTATAATTTTACTGTGAATTGATTAGTATTGCTGAAAATGCGTAGAATTTCTCAATTTTACTTCAAAAACTCTTGCAAACTATGCACAAAATCTTCTGTATGAGGGAAAATCCAGAATTTTCACTTCTATTATTTCCAGTTAACATTTGACTTTTGATCTGAAATCTTCAAAAACATTTGTGAAAATGCGTGGCTGATGTTATAAGTCAAAGAAGGAAGTTTTGCCATAGAGAAACTTCACTGAATTTCAACATAACTTCTTCTCTCTTGCATGATGGATTTAGAAACTTTCACTATCGCGGCAAATTTCAATCTCTTCCCTTCTAAAACTTTCTTGCGATATATGGAATTGCATGCGCTAATTTCAAAGTAAAGTGTGTAAACAATGGAACTGTAAATTGCTCATCTTCTCCGCATCAATCGAGAGATTTCTCTGGAATTCCTTTGCGTCACTTCGCCAAGTTGTTGATGTCTTGGAAACGGCCGGAAGCAAGAAGAGCCATAGCTTTGGCATTGTGAGTCTTCTTTTGCGGCAGAAAGTCGTCATATCGAGACACTTGGAGATATTTTTCTTGAAAAATAGATGACAAAAAGGAATTCTTTCACTCCCACGGGATGCAACGCGTCCGTCTGGCCAAGGCGGAAAAAGGAGGGAAGAAGAAATACGACAAGTATTTTTCAGATTGATTCTGCGAAATTGCTTTTGTCATTGTTCTTTTGAAACACGAGCCAGCAACGCATCCTTGGCCTCTCCTCACATCCAATAATATTTAGCTGAAGTGAGCGAAAGACGGCTCCGATGTCTCCATTCCGACACCCCCTCATCACGCCACCCCATGCAGACAAATTGTATTATCAGCCCATCGCCGTTCAACCTTTCTATATAGATGGAATTCTTAAGAGACAAGAAAGATTCCCAATATAATTTCACCGAGACTCTTGCGCTCTCTGATGTGGGTTGGCAAAGAATTTAATACACTTACTCTCTATAATGGATTATATGCCTTTTTGAATAAATGGCACCAAATTGACATAGCCAAATGTACAGAGAATTGCTCAAAGCAAGGGACAAATATCACAGCCAGAAGTCGTTGCAACTTTACAAATTTCGTATTTCAGTTCATAAAAGTTACGAATTTCATAGCTTATATCAGCGGCCAACCGGTGGCGCTAGTATGGCGATAAAAGGCGAAGTTGGGAGTTTATTTAACACGAATTTCATCTGTCAAAACATCAGAAAAGAAGTCGATTTTGTATGGGAATCGATGAACCGAAGAGGTTATGTTTTCAACGGCTGTTTATGTCATTTCTGCTGCAGAACTTGCTTTCTGGTCCGGGTAAAACAGGAAGCGCAAGAATCAAAATCTCTACAACATAAGATCGCTTTTCAATAGTAATTATCGTGAAGCTTATTAAAAAATACAGAACAACCTTTGTTCTAGAGAAAAATTGAGAAAAGTAGATTTTCTTTCCGGAACCACGAACAGTGACGTAGTTAAGCATCTATTTGGGCGTTTTTCATGACACATTTTGCGCAGAGAAGTCAAAATTCTTGTCTTTAAAAGCCTTTAGAAGTAATAAATGAATATTTTCGGATGTTTTTTGTCTTCTATGACACTGAAAACCATGAAAAACTGGGAAAAATATCTCAAAAAGGAATATCGATTGATAGCATCGTCAAATCGATTGATATATCGAGGAATCGAGTTTTGATCATGTCATTTGAACGTCTTGAAATCCCCTGCAAAACGTTATTTCTTTGTCGAATTGGATTTAGGCGTCCAAATCGCAAATGCTGATGTTTTAAGAATTCACATTTTTGACAGCTTATTTTAAATGTTATGAAAGTAAAGTTGCAACGACAAAACTACAATATTAACGCTTTCAAGGTTCTCTTGAGCCTGTCAAGAACGTCTTTAATTTCTGAAGCCGCCCAAAGAAGTGGATGAACAGACTTTATCCCACATTTTCTCCCCCTTTTGATTCAATCCACCCTCTTCTTTCGCCATGATAAATAATTGAATATTAGAAGACTTTTGAGTGTCTTTTGGATTCGCGAATATTTTATTGATTTCACTTAAAGGTCCTGCGTTAAAGTGTTGCCGTGCACATCGATGCAGAATAACGTGCAGTTCATCAATTGAATATGAGGTGGAATCATAAAATAAATATGATTTGTGTCCGCTGACGCGGAAATGATCCAGTATCGCTCCACAAATCCAGCTGCATTTCGCATTTCCACCAATCTCACTGGATATTTGCCGCAAATCTCCCGCGTGGCGGCATTAAAGGCCAACCCGCCGTCTAATTGCGGTGCAGAGTCGTTGAACCATTTGTGGCTGGCCAGCAGCACTGAGCAATTCTCCGCAAAGTAGACGCCACTCGAGTGGGACACAGCGCAGCCGGCCGTCCGCCTCACAACCGTGCATTTCGCCACACCCTCGCGCCCCGTGGGCACTCTGCGCCGCGGCAGGACTCGCCAGCGGCCGTGGAAGTCCCGCAGCGTGAGCATCTGATCCAGGCGGTCGCTGTCGTTGCCCATCACGCCGTCCGCGCAGTGCGCCAGGTCAAAGATGTGGCCCATCTCGTGCAGCAGCGCGCCCAGGCTCGTGGCGAAGCAGCCGCCGAACGTGCCGCGATACGCGCTGTCATCCATCAGCTCGGCCAGTGGCACGCGCGTCTCGTCCTCCAGACACCCACGCACGTCCTGCACGGCCTCCGGCCAGGAGAAGAGACAGGCGGAGCCCAGCAGCGCCAGACCGCCGCTCGCGAGCGCCGCATTGGCCACAGTCGCCGCCCTGATGCTCTCGTACGAGGCGTCCTCGGCGCCGCGGTAGCGCGTGCAGCTGAGATAAGCCACGAACTTGCGGTTCCGGCAATCGGGCGTCCGCTCGATGAGCTCTCGAGCGAAGAAGGACCTGCAGCGACCACAATTAGCTCCTCTGTCCGGCGGTCAGCATTGATCCGCAAGCGTGGAGTTCGCACCAACATTTCCCTGTTCAATTGCATGAACTTTTCGTGCAAATTCGGACAATAAATTGACATTTTCTCCCAGTTTAAACCCTTCTTTGCCATTCTTTGAGCCTAATAAAACCACATTAAAACAGCAATTCTTCTCCACACTTCGACAATTAATGAATTTATCGCATGTTTCGCTTAGAAGTGGAGCCATTGGAGCGTTTTAGATTGAAAGTAATGCGAGGAGTGGCAATAAAGAGCATTTCTCCAATTACAATGACTATAATTTGTTGTAATTAATCGTCATTAGCGAAAAGGATTTGCTGTAAGTGCGAAAAAATAATTGTTCTGCCTCTGATTTATTGTGAAAATCAAGTCAAAAGTCGAGGGTGGCAAATGTAATTTAAATTGCTGCGCAAAAGTGGGCTTTAATTGTGGGTTTTGCAGAGGAATTCCGAAGGAAAGGTGCGAACTCCACACTTTCACACAGAGAGAGCTTTAATACGGGATAATGACCATAATTGGTTCTCCGTCATCCTGGAAGCCTCCTCAGCGGACAGTTCACTGTGGAAGGGTTGGCAGTCGCCGCTGAGATTGAAAGTCTTCCTCCCGGACACGCCGGAAGCGCGCAGATTCTCCGCAAAGATCATCTGAACAATTCGCACACCGAGCGTGATTCTGGCCAAGGCGTTCGCCACGGAATTCCGCTCTTTGGCCTGGAATCGGCCATCGTGATCCTTGACCACGATGTACAGAGGCGTCACGGTTCTCGGATTGACACTGACTTCGTGACTTACATGAATTACAAGCTCGCAATCACAATAATTGAGTGTTATTCTATTCAGGCCGACATTGAGTGTGAGAAGACACTTGAATTCGCTGTTTTCTCGCGACACTTTGCAATTTTCTCGGTACTCACTGTTCAGGGAGATGGAGAGGGTGTTCCGGGAGCACTTGTGATCAATTTCACCACTCACAAACAGCACTGAATGAGGTATTTTCTCATTGTTTTGCAAGTTTTTCAGCCAGATTTTGTGTTTATCCACGCCATCGAGACACATGTTTGATCAGCTGTTTCACTGACGTTTCTTCACTTGCGAGATTGCTCGCTGCGGCGCTGGCGTCGGTGAGGCGGAGTTTCTTGCGGGCGATTTGTTTATCTCCGCGTGCGCTTTTGCTGCGGTTCCCGATTTTCACCAAAAATCCTCACAAAATGACGTCTTTCAACGTGATTGTGGGCACTTATGAAGAGTTTCTGCTGGGCTTCACTTGTAAACCACCAGACACGGTGAGATTATCCCGTCAAAATGCTAGAAAAGTTCTGTGTTTCATTCTAACCTTATTTGTCCAGGACGATCAGCCAGAGAAACTTCTGAAGATCTTCGCCTCCCATTCGCACACTGCTTCCATCCGGTGTGTGTCCGGATGGGGTGAAATCATCGCCAGCGGCGGTGCAGATGACAAGATCTTCGTGTACAGCTTGCGGTCGAAGCAGGAAATTGCCATTCTGACTGTTCAGTCATCGACTGTGAATACACTGGAATTCGCACCGGACGGAAGTCATCTGTTCGCCGGCTGTGCCGATGGATCGATGCTGGCGTACTCCTGCGAGACCTGGGAAGTGGTGAGAACCTGGAAAGACGCCCACAAAGGCTCGTCGGTGAATCAGATCCGAATTCATCCCAGCGGCAAATTGGCGCTGAGTCTGGGCGGAGATTTGACTCTTAGATCGTGGAACCTGGTCAAGGGACGCCAGGCATTCGCCAAGAATCTCAAGTCCATGCAGGAGCTTGGCAGAATTGTCGAGTGCGTCGAATGGTGCCCGGATGGGAAGCAATTTGCTCTGTCCGGAAGTCAAATCGTGCAGATTTGGAGCTTAGCCGATGCTTCAGTTTGTGCCACGATAAAGTGCGCCTCGCGACCAACATGTCTCGCCTGGATAACAGAGGATCTTCTGGCTGTTGGCCAGGAAAGTGGGAAGATTCTCTTGCATCGCCTTTCGGGAGGAGCAGAAGAGAAATCCGTGGAAGCTCATGAGAAGCGCGTGAAAGACATTTCGTGCAGAAATCCACACTTTCTCACGTCCGTGGGAAGCGCTGGAGATGTGAAAGTGTGGTCAGTGGATCAGACAAAGCTTGGATTGAGGAAAATTAGTTCCACAAACATTGGATGTCGTCCAACTTGCGTCGTCAACACGGCGAATGACGAATTCCCGGCTGTGAAGCAGGAAAAGTCATCAGAAGGCAGAGGAGAAGTTGTCGTGGAAGAGGAATTGCCGGAAGAGATGCAGGAAGAAGTCCTGGAGACGCCTAAGAAGGTGAAAGAGAAGAAAAAGAAGCGGAAATCGGAAGTATTTCTTCCTCCTGCAGCTTCAAGTGCGAAGAAAGCCAAGAAAAGACAGTCTTTCAACCCTTTCGCGTCCTTCACCGTCACCGACATCGATCCGGAGGATCTCAATCAGTCCCTGGAGACTGTAAAAGTGAAGAAGAGGAAGACGAATGGGATGAAAAACACCCTGAACAGAACAATAAATTGATTTTCCTCATTTGAATGCAATTTTTCGGCGCCAACACAGCTAGTTGCCACCTGAGGCGCTGCGAGCGGTGATTTCCTTCAGTCGATCTGTCAAATTGGTGGATTTTTTGCCTTGTTGTGTTTGTTTTTGTGTCTCACGAGGTGAAATATTGCAAAATCCAGTGGGTGTGATTGTTTCTTCATGATTCCTCCAACGCACTAGAGCCTCTTGTTTCCGCAAAAGTACATGGAGCTGCCATTAGTGGTGTGCTGTGTGTCGCAGAAGGAATAACTGTGCTCGCAACACGCGTACTTGCGTTACAGGGTTAGTATTGAGGGTTGCAGGGCAGGATTGTGGGCTGTTTATTGAGGATTGTTGGTAGTTTGAGGCTTTCCTGAGGCTGCTGCTGTCTAGGGAGTCTCTGTGTGGGGTTTGGAGATGGTTAAGTGGTGAGATTTCCGTGGAAAAGCGTTGCTTTGCAGCCAATTTTATGATTACACCTGCTTTCACGGTTCCGTTCGCTAATTTCTCTGGCTGAGCACTCAATTTGCCAGTAAATTAGGGAAAAGCGCCCATGGCCAATTACTCTAATGCATTGTGAATGTCTCTCAGAAGGTCTGACAATCTCTCTGTTTTCTTCAGTGCTTCGCGGCAGCGCTTCAGAGTCAACTGCGATCGTCCGGAGAGAGATCAGGGAAGAACATGGTGAGTTTTCTCTGTTATCTAGCCTGAGATTGCTTATCGCATTGGCTATTCTTCTCTCTCCCACTCCAGAGCTCACCCGCAGTCACGAGACGCGCCGCGCAGAAGGCGAAGATTCAGACGCGAGCGATGGCGAGCGGCCGAAGACCGCAGAGTTCAGCGCTGCTGGAGGCAAAGAAGCGCGCCAGACAGAAGATCTCCAGTGGCGAGAAGAGGTCGAGCGACGTGCAGACACTCAGGGATCCCTATCAAACTGCCATGGAGGCGACGAAGATGATTCGCGGCGCGACAGGATTGGTTTACGATCGCCAAATGGCGCAACATCTCTGCCTCTGGGACGAAAACTACCCAGAATGCCCGGCGAGACTCACGCGCGTCCTGGACAGGTGGGAAGAATCCACCGCTGAAGCTCTAGCTACTCTTTAACCTGTGTTTTCTTCTAAAATCCCGCCTCTTTTCAGGTGCCAAGAGCTGAAACTCCTGGACAGATGCCAGACAATCGAGCCCAAAGTGGCGACGAAGGAGCAAATCCTCCTGAAACACACCGACGAACACTTCGAGACGCTGAAGAGGACCAGTGGTGTGCGTGATGAACAATCTCTTGAGGATTTAAGCTCTCGCTTCGATGCGATTTACATTCATCCGGTGAGTTTTTCGCCTCTCCGTCAGCAAAACAACATAATTTATTATCTCTTATCACGCGAATGAGGTGATACTGTGTCGTAACTGTGTTAATTTCTCTTGAGACCGCTTGAGAGGCAAATTAAGTGATAAGGAAAAAGCTTCTTTGTTGAATTTTGAGGTGTTTTTGTAAGAGTGAAACATGCATGAAACATCAGTGAAACATGCACTCGGACAAATTGTGTGTGGAAAATTAAGAAATTTCAGCTTATTTCCCGGGAAATGAACTGATAAACTCTTTTTCTTGTCTTTCTGATGCTGAAAAGATGCTCTAAAATTACTTTTTGTTAGTTTCTTTGCCTTTCTTTCTATGTAAGAGCGTTTAGACCATAAAATGTAGACAAAATTGGAAAGAATTCTCTCGAAAAGCAAGAAATTAACTCGTAAAATCGAATTCAATGCAAAAAAGATTAATCTTTCAAAGTAAAAAATGACTTTTGAGTACAAAATTGGTCGATTGACACAATTTGGGCGGTCAAAATGACCTTTTCTCAAGACTAAAGAGTCTCTAGAATTTGCTTCTTCCTCTTGCAGACGACGTTCGAGCTGTCGCTGCTGAGCGTGGGCAGCACGGTGGCGCTGGTGGACGCCGTGGCACAGGGCAGAGTGCAGAACGGCATGGCGATCATCCGGCCGCCCGGACATCATGCAATGAAGGCGGAGTTCAACGGCTACTGCTTCTTCAACAACGTGGCAATCGCGGCCGCCGAAGTGCTGGCGAGCGGCGCCGCCGAGCGCGTGCTGATCGTCGACTGGGACATCCATCATGGCCAGGGCACGCAGCGCATGTTCTACGACGATCCGCGCGTGCTCTACTTCTCCGTCCATCGCTTCGAGCACGGCCAGTTCTGGCCGAATCTGCGCGAGTCGGACTTTGACTGCGTGGGCGCCGGCGCCGGCAGAGGATTCAACGTGAATCTGCCGCTCAACCAGACCGGCATGACGGACGCCGACTACCTGGCCATCTTCCAGCAAATCCTGCTGCCCATGGCGATTGAGGTGAGAAGCTTTGAAATCTTGGGGGAATCTTGAGTGGTAAATCACCAAATGTGATCGATGATTGACTCAAAATGACAGTGAAGACGTGAATTATATTAATTCAATACACCAAGGGGGAGATAATACAGTCAGAAGTATTATAGGAAGTGAAAGTGTTGAAAAACTTACAATCTTCCTTTCCCAAATGATTCTGTTAGTGACAAATTATCCTCATTCTTTGGAGCACTATTGATTTTCGCGCATAAACAATCATAATGATCTTTTTCTAGGTTATGTAATGAATTAAGGAGAGATTAGTGAATATTTCGCATTCTAGCACATCAATTCTTGTACTAAAGTCGCTAAGATTGCTAATTATTGGCAGAATTAAGCATTTTCATGCGATAAACATTGCTTTTCTGAGCCTTTGATGCCAAGAAACACTGTAAATTGTGCTAAAATCAAACATAACCTCCAAAATATCATTTAAAACATGGAAAATGTTTATTTAGAATACTTTCTGGGCGATTTTGACTCTGAATAAGCAATTTTGAGGTGATTTTGTTATCTAGAAAGCTTCCAAACTCATTCTAAGTTGAGTTTTTAAAGATTTCTTGATGATATTTTGAGGTTATGGTCAGAAAAGATGAATAAAAACTTAAGAAATTCATTATAATTTGGTGATTAGCGTGAAAATTGACTACAAATTTCAAGAATTAAAAGAGTCGGGCAAATTTGGAAGTGTTTCGAAGTAACGTACAAATTTAAGGCTTATTTTCTCCCCCTTGCAATGAAATAAGTGTAAATCTATAAGAAGAATTGGAGATAATTTATACAGTCTTTGATTAAATTTCCTGGTTAAATTCGTAATTGACATTCGCAAGTAAATCGTGATCGTCACAATTATTTGCCTCTTAACATTCTTATTTCTTTCCATTCCTCGAAAATTTCTCATGATGATGTGTGATAAAAAAAAACGTCTCAGTTTCAACCGCAACTCGTGATAATCTCCGCCGGATACGACGCCGCCCTTGGATGTCCAGAGGTGATTGTTTGACTTTTAAGAGCATGCACTCACGCACCCTTTTCTCCCCCTTCTTTCTTGTAGTTTGCACCCAATTTGGTAATAGTCTCAGCGGGCTTTGACTCCGCTTTGGGTGACGAAAAGGTAGCTAGAGATTGTAGATACAAATGCATGTGATAACCAATATTGTGCACAGTTTCCTGCTTTATACATATTATTGTTTGCCATGGTAATTATTGTCTGTTGCTTCACACCTTTTCTCACCTGCAACTTCTGTTTATTTAGCCTTAAACTATCCAAAGAGGGTAAATATCAAATGAATTAAGGTCTTTAGAATACAAGGGGCCAATCAGTCGCAAGTTGAGACCATTAACTTTGTGATTATTCAATCAATTGCATGATTTCATACAAAATTCAGATTATTTTATGATTATTTTCTAAATATTTAATCAAAATTTGAATAAAATTGAATAATTGTGAATATTCGTAATATTTTGATTCATTTACTGAAAATAATCTTTTTATTTATTATTCAAATACAAAATTTGAGTATTTTGATTATTTTGCAATTTTACTTTGAAAAATAATCTTTTTTTAAATTATTTTATGCAAAATTTGATTATTTTGTAATTTTATTTGGGAAAATAATCATTTTTTGATTATTTTTCAATTTTATTTGGGAAAATATTATTTTTTTTTTATTATTTTATGCAAAATTTGATTATTTTGTAATTTTATTTGGGAAAATATACATTTTTTGATTATTTTGCAATTTTACTTTGAAAAATAATCTTTTTTTTAAATTATTTTATGCAAAATTTGATTATTTTCCAATTTAACTTGGGAAAATAATCATTTTTTGATTATTTTTCAATTTTATTTGGGAAAATATTATTTTTTTTTATTATTATATTGATAATTTGATTATTTTCCAATTTAACTTGGGAAAATATACATTTTTTTGATTATTTTACTCAAATAATTGATTGTTTGGCTAGAGAACATTATAAGTTTCCTCGAAAATCCGTCTTGTGATTTGCCTCTTGTTCACGTATTATTGATGTGTTTGGCAATTAATTTGAATTTTTGCTATCAATGACAAAATTTATAGTCAGAATTGCAGTTGAATATTTTGTAATTTTGGACTTTATCAGGTTGACTTATTTGACTAATAATTATAATTTTGTGAGAAATTTATTACATTCCAGTGTTTTGTGTGTGATTAAATAGCAATTAATAATAATTTACGACAATAATACGGACATTTTCCGCATTTTATTGCCAATACATTTGACACACTGGCCAACAAGTTTATCGGTGCGCTGTTCATTTCAATTAGTCTAGTTTTCACTCCTTCATTAATGCTTGAATGGACAATTTGGGTTAATTGCAAACCTTTCAATTTCTCTATGAATTAATTTTGCATTTTCATCACTGAATTCTGTGGCAATTTGTCTGTGAAATTAGAGAAGGAATTGTTGTTTATTGATTTCCTCTCTGTATTTTACGATTTGTGTGTGTGTTTGTGGTCAACAGGGCGAAATGGAGATCACGCCGGCTGGCTATGCGCATCTCCTGTCGCCGCTGATGTCTCTGGCGGCGGGCAAAGTGGCGGTGATTCTGGAGGGCGGCTATTGTTTGCGTTCTCTGGCCGAAGGAGCGGCGCTCACGCTCAAGACACTCCTCGGTGATCCGTGTCCGAACCTCCAGCCGCTGACAGCGCCGTGTGAGAGTGTCCAGGAGAGCATTCTCAACTGTATTTCCGTGCACAGGCCATTCTGGAGGTGTTTTCAGGTGCACCGGACGTACGGATTGGAGGAGGTGAACAATATTAATCCGCCCAGGGAGCTTCATCAGGTGGTGTCGGTGTTTAAGGGCAGCACAGAGCGTCCTGAGCGCTTCGAGACGCGCAATTGCTATCCTGTGCAGAGTGAGGAGAGTCTGAGGAAGATCGATGAGCGTTTGCAGCGTCTGGAGATGTCGACGAGGTTAACAGTGGCGCCGAAGAGAGTGTGTTTGGCGTATGACAACGCCATGACGCAGCACAGGAATGACTTTGAGGAGCATCCGGAGTGTCCGGAGAGGATCACGAAGATCTGGGAGCGCTTTCAGGAGTTCGGCACGGCCGACAGGATGCACAGAGTGACGACCAGGCGTGCAACTGAGGAGGATTTGTGTCTCGTGCACGCGCCGGAGCATGTGAAGTTGATGCAAGAAGCTGTTCAGCGGCGGGATTTGGAGGCTTTTGGCGACAGATACAATTCCGTGTACTTCCACAGCTCCACATGGGAGTGCGCCACTGTGGCGGCCGGATGTGTGCTCCAGACGGTGGATGAGGTGTTGAATGGGAATTGCCAGAGTGGCATTTGTGTCGTGCGACCGCCTGGACATCATGCGGAATCTGATCTGCCGCATGGCTTCTGTATCTTCAACAATGTCGCCGTGGCGGCAGAATATGCTGTCCGGAATCACGGCTTGCGACGCGTCCTGATTGTCGATTGGGATGTTCATCATGGCAATGGGATTCAGCACATCTTCGAGACACGACGCGATGTTTTGTACATTTCTCTGCATCGCTTCGATCACGGCAACTTCTTTCCCAAGAGCCCAGATGGTGATTACAGTGAGGTGGGCAGTGGAGCCGGCGAGGGATTCAATGTGAACATCCCGTGGAACAGGAAGGGCATGGGCGATGTCGAGTACACGGCGGCATTTCACAGTATCGTGATGCCGATAGCGTATGAATTCAATCCGGAACTGGTGCTGGTGTCGGCGGGATTCGATGCCGCCGTGGGCGATCCGCTGGGTGGCTGCAAAGTCTCCCCCGAGGCTTATGGACACTTCACACACTGGCTGTCCGCCCTGGCGAATGGGCGGCTTATCATCTGCCTCGAGGGTGGATACAACGTCAATTCCATCTCCTACGCAATGACCATGTGCTCCAAGGTGAGAGTTGAACACTTTACCTCCTCTTTTGTGCAAATAGATTAGCTGAAAAGTGCTAAAAACTCAGGAATTTGAAGCAAAATATTCAGCTATTTTTTAGTTTCAAATAGCCAATTTTCTTAGCTATTTTCTGAAATATTTTGCTAAATTTTTTAGCTTTCATCTGCTAAGAACTTAGCAGGAAAACAGGAAGTCCAACATCCAGAGCCTGTAAATCTCTCAATTTTGAGGTTATTTGCATGGCGTTATTTATACAATTCATTTGAATATTGTTATCACGAAGTATATAGAAATGAAATGGAGAGGTTTTACATAATGCGACATTTATGCATTTAAGTACGCATCAGTACTTTTGACTAGTCGCCACTACGATCGCTAGTGCATCAACCGAATGGCGAAGATCTTAGCAAAAGAAAGCCAATTAATTAGCTTTTTAAATCTCAACTCTGGAGATCTTAACATTTAGTGCTCACTGGATTGTGTCTTTTTCCCGCCACAAATTTTTGAACTATGAATACGATTTTTTAGCATAATTTCAAGACTTATTAGGACATAAAAAGGGTGAAAAATGAGTTTGACTGATATAAATTAATCATATCAAATTGTTCTTGTGCTAAATAAGATCAAAAGTCAGTGTTTTTCGTCACAAAGAAAGTCAGACTTTGACGTGAAAATGCATTAAAAAGTAATTATTCTTAGTTTTAAGCTAGAAAAAATTGGTATTTTTTATATCAAACGGTTTTTAATCTACTTTTTCTTAGATTCATATGACGAAATCAACTGAATTTGGTCAATTTTTTCTAACATAATTTGCCCAGCATTCGTTAATCTAAGACACTTTGCAACTCTGGACTTGTGAATAGGGGAAAACGATAGTGCGACGCCAATTTATTGCCTCTCGTTCTCTGCTCGCTTTGCACTCCATCGAGGGTAATTGATGTGGCATCGTTTCAGGCGCTCCTCGGGGATCCTCTGCCGCCCCTCGATTGTTGCGGTCGCGACCTGAGCGCGAGCTGTGTGGAGACGCTGCGGAGTGTGATGTCGGTGCAGAGGAAGTACTGGCGGTGTCTGAAGTTCTGCAAGAAGCTGCCTGACTTCGTGGCCGGCGACGACGCCGCCGCCGCCGGCGGGCTCAGCGAAATGATGCAGGGAATGGCGATTGCGGACGAGCCCTGTGATAGTGACAGTACAAATGAGCGGACCAAGAAGAAGGCCGGCGATCCGCAGCCCGGTCCGTCCACGTCGCGTGGCCAGACGACGTCCGGCGAGGCAAATCAGTCACTCAGTGACTATCTGGCTGAGAATGCCGCCGCGTTGGCCAATGAAGAGATGTTCGCCGTGGTGCCGCTGAAGAATTGCCCGCATTTAGCAGAGCTGGAGGATTCGCGAATGCCAAAAGGTGAGTTTATTAAGATTAATTGAGAAAGTCGTTGCAACTTTGCTTTCCTAACATATTAAATAAGCTGTCATTCATATTATTTACTAATGTGGGGAATTTATTTGGGAAAACCAAGGAAATTGACAATTATGGTGATTTTGTGTAGATTAACACATATTGAAGGGATTTTAATGGATATTTGTGCAAATTTCAATGCTTCAGATTGAGGTTATGTGTTTCCTAACTACCTTCAACCGTTTTCGAGAAAACTCATTGGTTTCCTCATGCGTACACGTCGTGACACGCACGAAAATGTGCGAAATGTCACAACAAAGATATCTTCCTGGGCATTCTGATCAGCAGAATCCTTCGAGAATTCCATCAAAAACACGCTGAATGTCAAGAACAGTCGCTGAAATTCACTATTTTGCTCTGTTTAACTTATTCTTCGCGTTGAAAACATCCCTCGATCGTCGAAAACTCTGGAAAATGCGCTTCACTTCCACTGAAGAATATTTCCTTGTTTCTACGTGGAGGAAAATGGCCAGAAAAACACCCTCAAAGAGGAAATTTCGCCCTTTTCGGCTACTCAAAAGTATATTCACAATTAATTTACGTTTTGACAGCTGAAATTTGTATTAAATAAACTCTCAAGTTTGTCTTGCAACGCCTTCTCGTTCGTATTTCATTCGTACTGTACACTAGCGCCACCGGGCGGCCTCTAATATAAGCTATGAAAATGTAAAGTTGCAACACCAATTTGGTAGCTTTTACGAAATGAAATAATGAAATTTGTAATGTTGCAACGACGCGTATTGATGTCAGTGGAGTGAATGTCTGTTCTCACCTGTCTTTCTGTCTCTCTCTGGCCACTTAGAAATCAACACTCGCGGCCCGTGCGAGGAGTGCGCGAGTCCGGATGAGAATTGGATTTGCCTGCACTGCTTCCGGACGCTGTGCGGTCGCTATGTGGGCGAGCACATGCTGTTCCATCATCTGGACGCCGGGCATCCGCTCACGCTGAGCTTCAGCGATTTGTCCGTGTGGTGCTACAAATGCGAGTCATACATCGATAATCCCATGCTGTACAAGTACAAAAATATGGCACATGTCCACAAATTTGGCGGGGAGGAGATGGTCTGGCCGTACGGAAGCGACACACTTCGGCTGGACCAAGTGGCGAATAACTGATGTTTTGCCGTGCATTTTGGAGTGTTTCCACACTTTTTTCTTCTTTCCTCTCCTTTCTTACTAACTTTTATTACCCTTTTTCACTCTATATATATATTTGTATGACAGCAAAGAGAGAAGAGAAAGAGGAAAATGAGCGAATTTAATTCTCAGAACAACGGTTTTTTGAGGAGCGGCGCGTCTTTGATGAAAGGAAGAGAGACTTAAAAGGAAAAACATTTGAAGATTGACAATACTCATGGAATTACAAAAGAAACACTGTAAGTTGACAGAGAGAAATTGTTCAAAGAAGCATTTTTATAGGAAAGTTTTGTGCAAAATGGAATTTTTTAAGATGTTTATTGAATTATGTGCATTTTTTCTTCACTTTCTTCCATTTCAATTGCGCAATTGAGGAAATTTTTTTATAGATTTCATCTTCACTAAAAGTAGTGTTAGTGGATTTTTCAACGAGATGAATCTTTGTAAATTTATTAATAACATAATAATTGATTCTTATTAGTAATATTAGTTTGTGTGGAAAATCATTTTGATGAAGAGAATAATACGAGAAAGTCGATGCAGAGCAATATTGTCCTGAGAAAACTAACTAAAAAGAGTTCCTTTTTGTCTTGCAATTTCGATTGATTTTCAGGTGAAAAAAGAAGAAGAGAAGAGAGACAAGAAAATAGTGAAATTCCGTCAGTAAAATGTGTTTATTTTGTAGAATAACCAAAGAGTAACAAAACCACTAAAAAAATCTACAAAAGTTTTAATAGAAAACAATATAATGAGAGATGAATTATTTTGTGAAAAGAAAATTCTATTAACCAAAGCGATTTAATGAAGAAACTCACCTGTTGTTAAGGCAGAATTTAACGGTTGGGATGAAGGATTAAAAGGAAGGCAAATAAAAATGTTCAGGGTTTAACATAAAACCTCCAGTTTTTTCTTCTTTAAATTCTCTCCTCACATTCTCGAAGCCGGGAATGTTTAGAAAAGGTGAAGTTCTCCTGTGTAAGCAAATGTGTTGTGACTCTTCAGCTGCCGCACATGGACCAGAAAGTCAACGCTTCGTAAATAATAAATTGCAATCACGTTCTTGCCAATATTACGAACCCAGAGAAATCGTTAGCATAGCAGCGAAGAGGAACTTTGCAGCATTTTCTCTCTCTCTCTCTCTGTGACTGTTTATGTTGTTTCGACACGGAAAAAGGTGAGTGTTGAAAGTGCCAAAAAGACTGGGGGGAGAGTTTTGAGGGTGGAAAAAAGCGTCACAACATGCAAAATTCCATGGGAAATCCATCAGGATTCACGATGCTTCGCACAGAAGAACACCAGAGAGTGACGCTGACGCGCAGGTGAGATAATTGAAAGGAACACAATTTTAATGAAATGTCTCCTAATTAGCACACAGCATTGAAATGTCCCTCAAAGTGGGTTGTTTGACTGGGAAGCTTTTCACCCTTTTCCACCCATTTTATACAAGTCAAGAAAGAGAACTTTGAGTAAGTCTAAATTTATCAGTTCTAAATCTATTTCCACGCTGTCAAATGTGATGAAAATGAGCAGATGAAAGATTTGCAAAAGTTCTTCTCGTTTGCAAAATCGAAGAATGAATTTTTCAGGTAATTTTTGAAAATGACAATCAAAAGGAAGAAATGATTTTTGGTGAACTTTCTGCATTTGCATGCGAAGCTTTGCTATTCAAAGTGTTTCAAAGCATTTCAACTCGCATTTCGACAGTCGAATAGTGTGAAAAAGACGAGGTAAGCAATTGAATTATGAATCTGGATCAGTTTGGAGCACTTTTATTATCTATTCATGCTGAAAAACGTAGAAGCATAACATGCACCATTAAAACTCTCGTGTATTTCGTCTTAAATTCGCAGAAAAGGAGGATTCTGATGTGGCTTTTGGGAAGATTTTGATTATTGTGCGTTTATTTTACAATGTGCAAGAAAAATTTCATTTTTCCTTGCATTTTGTAATAAATTTTCACTAAAGATTCTTTTATTATCAGTCAAGGAGCTGCAAAAAGAGTGTCTTATCAAGATAAACACTATATTGGAGGCCATAATTTAAAGAAAAACTGGTTAAATGGAAGAATGGGCTGAAGAATCACTGCGAAATTTGTCAAATTTATCTCAAAACTCCTTCTAATCGTTCATTAAAGTGCTAAAATTGATCTGTAATCATTATTTTGTGAATGTTCCAATTGATTTTATTGGTATTTATACGAATTGATGACTGAAATATTGCTTTTCAGTCAATTCTTAATAATCTTCGAGCATATTTTATCTAAAGAAGTTCTAAAAAATCGACTTTTCATACTTTACATGAACTTTTCTCTAAAGTTTTCAAATTAAAAAAAAATATTTAAAGATATGACAAATATTAATAAAATTGCATTCAAAATCTTAACACATTTTAGGAAGATCCTGAAGATCATAAAAAAGAAATCTCAGTTTTTTTAGTAAAAGAACATATAAAGAGCTTTTGTAACTGCATAAGAAGTCTTGTAAGACGTGTAAAGTATGAATAGTCGATTTTTTATGGTTTTTGGTGGTTTTGGATACACAAAAGAGTAGAAAATTCACAAAAAATATCTCAAAATACGAATTATTCTTGCTAAATTCAACTAAATAAGCTTGTTTTGTGATCGTTTTTGATTTTTAAAGTCATACAATTTCTCTCCAAGAAAGCTGAAAAGCATATGAATCAGTGATTTCTAACTTGAATTCCTTCTCTTAGAATTCAGTTTCACTCTGTCATAATAATTTCGCCACATCTCAGTGAGAGCTTTTCAATATTTGAAGCATTTGAAGCTTTTGGAAGCACTTCAGCGCGAGCAATAATTCATGTGAAAAGTGAAAATTTGGGAATCTCCGTCTTGCGTCCACTAAAAGAAAAAAAACGGAGATTAAATGTTGATCAACAAGTTGAGCGAAATCTCAACTGGTGAATGTTATTAATTCCATTTCGCGCTTTAAAGTCTCTCTCTCTTTCCGAGGGAACATAATTTGTACATCCTTCACACGGACCTGCAAAGTTGATTATTCCAAACACGTGCGTAAGTATTTACTTATTTGGTCAGTGCTTTTCCAACACGTGACCGGCTTCCCAACACGCCATCGCCCACCTTTGGCAAGTCAACAAATTCTATTTGTCGATCCCGAACGACGGTCAACATTATATGTTGGAAGTTCACGAGAAAACTCGATTAATTGCCACACGTTTAGAGTGACTTTTCGCCTCACAGTGAAGAAATTTTGCACTTCTTTGCCAAAGTGTCTAAAGCAAAAAAAAAAGAAGGACAAATTCTGGCTGGAGGAGTTTGTGCATGATTTTGGTCTTCTTCTGCACGCCTTGAGGGTGTGGAAAATCACCCTCAGAGCTCGACCAGAAGCTTTTCACTTTGAGCAAGTGCTGAAGGTTCGTGATAAATTTGTGAGCTTTCGCACCTTGTATTTTATTAAATAAAACAAATTGGCCTAACAAGTGCCATTATACTACATATTTTATGGCTTCAAGTGCAAAATCGTGCCGCAAATATTGCTCTAAGCACACATGAAATGCTCGTGAAGCGAGAGATAGAAAGAGAGGTGAATATTGTTGCTCCTCGAGGACCCGAAATCACGGCAATTTTCTCTTTTATTTTCCACCCTCCGCGCGCACTTTCTCCCCCCCCCCGAATTCACCCGGACTTAAGCAACGTGCAAGATTGCTTTTATCTCCGCACTCTCATATAAATGTTTTCTTCGCCCCAGAATGTCTTTTGCGTTTTTTTTTCTTCTTTCCTCTTCCTTCACTCCTTTTGGGCATCTTTGGCGCATAAGAAGTAAGCGCTTTTGCTTGGGATGTGCAAAAAAGTTTGAACAAAGCGTGTGTGTGTATTTACAATTAAAGTTTCAAGAAAATGGGGGATGGAAGATGGGGGAAGAGAACGTGAGACGATAGTTTATCCATTGAGAATTCTAAGCTCGCCATCACTCGAAGCCTTTCCGCCTTCGACGGGCGGAAGCGAAATGGAATGCAATGAAGCGAAAAGCTCGATAGCATTTTCGATTTCAACCTGGGAAATTTCACAAGAAAAACATCCAGCAAAGTGATAAGACATTGTCAGTGCTCAATTGGCAAATTATTCCTGGCTCTATTATTATTATTTGATTTGATTTGTAGCTTTCTTTCGCTCTTCTTATCATTTTGCCATAATTTATATGCATGGAAAACAACTTTTCCTCAATTTCTTGCGTCTTGTTGGCAAACATTTGTCAGATATGCTGTCATTGTGCTCTCTTCAATTTTATTTATTTAATACAAGGGGCAGATATTATAGTAGGAAGTGGTGTACAGATTTTATGGAAGTGTTGGGAATTAAAAGTGGTAAAATATTCGTTGCAAAAGCTTCTGTTTCAACAAATTGAGGCATTTTCTAATTTATTTTGCTCAAAAAAAAAACAATTTTATGGTTTTTCTAGGTTATGTGTTTGATTTAAAACCAATTCTGTTAAAAGAAAACCCTCAAAATCATCAAAATTGGGTTTGAACTGAGAATATTTCACTTTTTCTTGACACTTTGAGCATTTGGGCTCGAGAAACGTCAAATTGGTTAAATTTCAGAAGTGAAAAACAGCTTTAAAGTCAAACATAACCTCAAAAATGTCATTTTAGCCTATAAAAGAGTAATTTTGGCGGTTTGTACTTTATTATCCAGTAGAAACATTGAATTATTCTCTAAATTGACTCATTTTCAGGTTAGAAAGGATTTAAATTCGTCCAAGAAGGTTTTAAAACCGTTTTTCATAACCTCACAATTTGTTTAGAATTTTTCTAGACATTTTCCGCAGACAAAACTAAGAAAACAAGACAGAAATTGTTGTGATAAGTTAGAAATGAGTTTAAAAAGTGATAGAAAATGCATTTTAAGACATTCAGAAGGGTTTGAAAATGGTGTACAAATTTAAGGCATATTATTTCCCCGTTGATTCAATCTCAGCATAAAAGTTGATTTCTTGGTTTCATTTGATAAATTCTTGCATTGTTTCTACGAGATTCCATATATTTTGCCAAAAATGAAGCAAATATTCACTTTAAACATCTGCATTAAATTTCTTTTTATACATTTTGCTTCGTTGGTGGAATTTTTGGAAGTTTTTCTGGGGGTATTTTTTTAATAGTGCAATAAATTGATCTGAAAATTGAGTGCGGTTTTTCTGCAGAGCTGCCAGAAAAGCTCACCATATGTTGCTGGGGGGAGAGTTTTACAGGGACAGCCTTGCATATGGCTCATGATATATTCAAATGGTTAATTAAGTTCAGAACCAAATAATGCCAGCCAATTATGCTAAGAGTGTGAGAGTGAATTTTGCCTCTCTCTCTCTCTGCATTAAAGCGAGTTAATTTCAATGCTGGCCGATAAATGTGGACTGGCGTTGGAGTGGACTTAAAGTTGTCAACTCTTATTCCGGGCTGCCTTCGCTTACATCTAATGGACTTTGTACATAATCTAATTACCCTAATGGGTTATCCAGCTGCATTGTTCCGAAGGAGAGCTTTTGCCATTGGCGAAAGCTGCGAAATCATCTGTCTGATTTCTCACACAGGCACACACTCAAGAATATATATGGAATATTCTCGTGGTGAATTTTTACACCCTCTTGAGAAAGGGCACAAGAGAGAGCATCTCGTAAAAGAAGATGCCAAATCATTCTCACCCAACTTATCATATTTCAATTCTTTTCTTCATGCGCTTCGCCTCGAAAGTGGAAATAAAATAAATATTTGTTTGGAATTTTATTTCTATTGAAGGCACACGCCTGAAATATGGATGGCCAATTGGGAATCTCCATCCCTTGGCCATTTCCATTACGGATCGTCAAGGAATTTTGCAATTTTTCCGTGGCCATTCATCGTCTCTCATGGCAAATGAAATTGT